GGGGTAATTTCATTGAAACCCTAAACTCCTCAAGTTCTACGATATTTAGTTCCATTTCAAACATTATAGAACATTCACCGAGTAATGAAATGGTGTAGAATGGGCTCTGAAACCATGGTGGTCAATACGAGGTGGGATGCAATCCCCTTCTTCATAAATATTGATTATGCAATAGTCAGAAACACAATCTGAAGGTAGTATGTGCTAAGCTATCAATCATTTGACTATTTTAATTAGAATTAGTGGGATTGGGACGATTGGCCATCTTTTAGGATGCCTGGGGGATTTCCATCTCTTTCAAGAAGGAAATTGTAACAGCATCAATAATGGATCGTGATCCTACCCTTCTCTATTTTCCATCGATTGGGATCAAAATATGTTCTACATTCCAAATAATTGGCTCGTCCTCTGTCATGAGCCCCTGTCACATATTGTACAATAATGTCATTCTCTTCCTCTAAGAAAACCTTGGTGAACAGCTATAATCCTTTGAGTATGCTAACCTTCTCACCATTTACCCTCTATGAGTATCAGAAGAATTGACGTTTAACTGCTTGACACTCTCTAGCTCTTCTTCCTATATTATTATCCTGGCGATAGGCTCCTTTGGTTCGAGAGGGTCCATAACCTTTGTAGTAAATGGGTTCGCATGAAGATGCACCTCTCTAAATCACCCTCCTCCAAATTGAATTTCTCTATTTCGAGGATAGGCTATGTCACCATGGGGGTAAACGCAGGTATCTGAAATTCAAACTGAAGTAGGTCTTCATCCATAAGTTGATGTGGCGGAAGATATTCGAATTAAAGTTATATATATGACAAATAAAACAAAATTTCAAAGTTATTCAATAAAACTAAAGTTAGAAAACATTTAAAAACATTGTCAAGACAAACTAATAAATGTTGTTTTCCTTATTTCTGTTTAAATGCTTTCTGATATTAAACATTTGACTTTAAATCGAATAAAACATATCATCTTATTATAATGATACCCAACAACACAACAATGGCAAATCTTAAATTTACCAACAACTCGAGGACAAATAAATTTCCTTCTCTATATATCAAGGAACATGACCCCCCCTCTCCCAATACCCCAATAGAACAGAAAAAGGAAAAAAAAAGATGTCTTTAGTTACAGAAGAGCTCAGGGCAAAGGCGCAGATATACCATGGAGATTCACTCGGCCAAGAAAAATGCCAGTTTCTTCTCAAAGAGGTTGGCCTTCCCAATGGTCTCCTTCCCCTTAAAGACATCATAGAATGCGGCCATATAGAAGAAACTGGATTTGTGTGGCTCAAACAAAGGAAGAAGATAGAGCATACCTTCAGGAAAATAGGCAGGCTTGTGAGCTATGCCCCTGAAATCACTGCTTATGTTGAGCAACATAGGATCAAAAAGCTCACAGGAGTGAAGGCTAAGGAGCTCTTCATCTGGCTTACTCTCACAGATATCTCGGCTGATGGAGCAGAAGAAGAGAATTATTCTGCAGGTAAGGGGAAGATAACCTTTCACAGCTCCTCTGGTCTTTACAGAACTTTTCCTGCATCAGCTTTTGTGATTGAGGAAGATGAGCAGAAGAAGAAGTCGGAGGCGGAGAAGAAGGGGGACAACGAAGGGAAGAAGGAGGCGGAGGAGGTGGAGAATGAAGAGAAGGCTTAAATTTTTGGTAAATGATGCTTTGTTGCTTTCTTCTCTTAAAAAACTCTATTTTGGATCAAAAAATATGAATAAGACACTGGCCAGTTCTAATTCTGTTCATGGATGAACTTTTTCATGCAAGTTTGAATTTTTATTTTTACTTTTGTTTTTGTTTTAAAAAAAAAGTGATGAGTGATTGAAGTTCTTAAAGATAAATGATCAAAAGACATGCTTATTTGGTTTTAAAAATAAATTATTTATATAATAATTATAAGGACAATTAGTGTGGTGGAAGGAACTTGAGAGTTATTGATGTGTTTTTAGGTCAAGTGATTAAAATAGAAAAAAATGATTAAAAAATAATTATCTTCTATGGAAAAAATGAATTCTTTTTTTTTTTTGTTCGAGTAAATAATTTTTTATAGTTTTTTGTTTCTTAGGATCTCTTTGGGGCAACTTATGCGTTTCAGGATAAACTGTTTATCTTGAAATGCGGCCCGCGGGCCAGCCGCAGGGGTTGACCCGCAACCCGCGTTTAGTGTAGAAACCCAAACGCAGTTTCGGATAAGCTCGCGAAACAGGTGAACCAAACTGTACTGCGCGTTTAAGCTGGCGAAACAGGTGAACCAAATTGTACTGCGCGTTTTGAAAACGCCGCCCGCACCTATAAGCTGCCCCAAAATGACTCTTAGTTTTAATGAGAAAATGCATTAAAAGCAGCTGATGCAAGCAACCACCACGGTCTGTTTGGGGCAGCTTGTCCCTTTCAGGATAAACAACTTATCCTGAAACGCAACACGCGGGCCGACTGCTAGAGTCAACCCGCGACCTGCGTTCAGCGTAAAAAATTCAAACGCAGCAGACAACGTTTTAAAAAACGCCCATACCAAATGGTTAAGCGGCGTTTTCAAAAACACTACCGCTTTTATAAGCTGCCTCAAACGTAATTCTTATGCCTTTACACATCTAACATATAAATTTGTATATTTACAAACACGACACTCAAATTATTATTACACCAGAAAAATGACTATTACTAACCCCTCAAAAGTGAAACACAAATTTTCATATAGATCTATGACACAAAAGATTACAAACTTAATTATAAAAATTTAATTTTTTTCCTCTCGTTATTATTGAATAATATGATTAACACTTCAGTGTCAGACATATGTAAATACATAAAAATTGTGTCTTACACATGTAATTTTTCATTTTTTTTATATAGTTTGTGTATTTTTTTTAGACATCTTTTGTGTCAGGATGGCCAAGTTAACTCAAATAAGTTATAATAGATTCAGCAAACTGAATTAATTCAGACACTAAAGCTCACCAAAGGGACTTATTGGGTCTCCTACTCATCTAAATTATTATCTTGTACAATCATCATAGGAATTTGCCATCGGCACCAAAAAGAGGAGCATTTTTCTCCAGCTGCCCAATTCGCCCCTCCCTAATAAATAGCTTTCATTGGTTGTACAATAAGATATTAATGCTATTTAATGCTGAGAGACTCTGAGATTATTAAGCTTTAATAAATGAGTTTGATTGTGTTTGGATTGTAATTGTTAACATCAATCGAATAGAAATAGATTTCTAAAAACATTTGAGCATGCCCTCTAATATTCATTATTTTTTATATCTTGATGGAAAGAACATTTTTTTAATAAAATTGCTAAATAAAAAATATTAAATTATAGATAACAATTAATGCTATATGCATGAGTTGCAAAGACAATCAAATGAACAATCTAATTAACAATTAATGATGTATGGCCAAGCAATTGTGGTCTGACGACTACAATAGCTCAACGAGTGGTTCGAAGCTAGTGAGGTATGAGAATCTTAAAGTGCTGGGAGCTCTCTTTAGTCCTCTCATAGATGTCCAGTCTTCCAGCATGAGGAGAGTGGTGGACTATTAATAAATTTTGAGTATGACATCCTCAAAAAATACTACTTTAATCAGAACCTTATATCAAATAGCGAAGGGTGATTTTCTTGACTTGATGATATCTTATGAATATTTTAGCGTTTTAATGATGTCAGAACTAAATGATCTAGGTCTCAATTGATTCATTTCATTGAGTTGTTCTATTTCATTTTAAGTTTATCATTTTTGGAGATCATTTGATCCCAAAAATATATTTCAAAGTTCTTCTTTCTACTTAATATTCTCGAAATGCTATTAAGCACCAACAACCACAGAACTATACATGTCAATCAAGTAGTATATAGATTTGAATATGTGCATCGATCCCACAGAAAATGAGTTAAATTTACAAAATGGAAAAACTTTTTATCTATTAGTTTTATGTCTTGCTTGAGAATTAATATTTGTTGAATTTTGAAGTGACCCTAAGTAATTTCTTAAAAAAAATGAATCTAACCATATTTTAGGGTTTTAATCAAATGAGGAAACCTCCCTTGAATTGGATATAGCAATCTAACAAAATGTTATTGAAAATCATGAACAATAATATTCCTTGGCCCCTTCCAGTGGTCTTAAGAAATAGTATTTCATATTTCAGTTAGTTCACTAACCATGTAAAAACTCACGTGTTCATGAGTTTATCTATGTAGTTGCACTATTCTAATAACAATATTCCTTTTCCCCTAAAATTATGTTTATTAACGTAATGGTTCCACTAGCTTGCTCTCGTAGTATTAGATCACAATTTATTTTAACAATCTAATTGATTCGTTTAGATGTAAATTACATGTAAAATGTTAAATTATCAATGCACTACTATAGAAAGTTTAATCATAATTCAAAGATAACACTACATTGTGTAAATTACCAAGTGAGAGAGATTTAATTCCTACTCATTTGAAAAAAAAAACAAAAAAGAAAAAGAAAAAAAAAGTAAATTCAATCAATAAGTTTACACAAATGAAAAACAATCAAACCCGAAATTATTCTCCTTTTGCTCCACTTTCACTCTTCTTATTACGAAGAAACTTTACTTTGTTTTGCTTAAACCCATATATAAGAAAGTAAAAATATTAACCAAACAAACTAAAACATTCACACACTCACTCAAATATCTACTTTAACTCTTCTTCAAGTGTCTAAAGTCTCCAAGAGAACTCCAAGTTTAGAAGTGTAGAACGAGTCAAAATGTAGTAGTCCTCTTCAAAAAAATTTTCTTCAACCTTTTGATATTGGCAATTTAAGCCCTCACTCATGAAACAACATGAGTTGACACTTCTTAACCTTAATCCTCATCTATAAGCGTGTGGGCACTCATAATTAGCACCTAGGCACCAACATTGTTTCTAGGAGTGTAGGCGCTGAAAATTAGCTCTTAGGAGCCAAAAATTGGTACTGAGAGGCTTGACCCTCCAGTTTCTGAAACTTGGGTGTGCCAAACAGACATCTAGGTGCCCAAGACTTGTACCTAGTTACCAATTTAGCTAGGTTCAGCCTTGTTTAGCCGATTTTGAGTTTATTTCATCTCTTTGCCTCGCTAAGTTGACTAATCACATATACACTCCATGTACAATCACAAATGTCATTGAAAAGTAAAAAAATAACACAAATAGTATATCAAATAGCATATAAAAATCATACACAAGATGCACATTAAATACCCTTAAACAAAAATATTACTTGCTTTCAAGTAATTCAACATATTAAATTAGAATCATTAGAAATTAAGTATAGATTTATTTTTAGAATCTCAAGGCTCTTTAATAAAGAGGTAAGAAATTCTTAAGGATTTATAGACCTCTTCCTATGATTGAATTGTCTTTGAAACTCCTAATATCCCCACATAAATTGCATTAACAATCTTTTTATACATATCCCTAAACCACTTATATTTGGTTAATTAAAATAAAATTAGCTCTTATTTTTCATCTTCATAGAAGAAAATTGAAGGTAAAATTAGCTCTGCTAAGGATGACAGTCTTCTCTGTAGAGGTGGTAGCAAGTGCAAAAGAGAAGGATAAAAATAAAGAGGAAATACTTGAATAGATTAAAGAAGAGGAAAAGAAAATTAAAAAATATCATGCTCAACTAGAGGGAGGATACTCCTTTAGAACTAGCATTTGAGGTCGAGGTCAGGGACGAGGATGAGGAAGAGGAAACCTGATCATCAAAGAAAAGAGAGCTCCAATGATAAAACATTAACTTGGTTTCAAACTCTGAAGAAAAAAAACATGCAATAATTATAACTCAAAAAAAATACATAATTTAAGACCTCTCTCGAAGGTGAAGATAAAAAAGGAAGATAAGTACAAGTCAATGTAAGAAATTATCAATCATTGTGTAAAGAATATGACCCGAAACCCAATTTCTTTAAAAGGAATGAAGAGTTTTGTGGTCAAAGAATAACATAGTGTATGTGAAAAGCCTATTAGGTTCCATTTTGGATCTTCTTCCTCTAGCTTTGAAACAAATATAAAATTAGAGAAAAATAACCTTTTAAATTTAGTGGAACTTCTTATTGATCATTATTCATCTTATGTTTAGAAACTTATTAATGTTGTTTGGTGCCAAAATAATGGTCAAAAGATGAATCCCACCTCTTTGAAAAACTATGGAATAATAGAAAACCCAACTTCAATTAGAAAGAAGGTGTCAGTTTCAACACAATTGGGCCCCTATATGATATAGAATTTTGTTTAGCTGTCTTTGAAGAATCCAATATAGAATGTGTAGAAGCATCATACATGAAGATGTAGAACTAGAAGAGGGAATTAAGCAAAAAACCATGAGATGAAAGAAGTCAACTTGGGGACAGAAGATAAACTGAGACCAACATTTATTAGCTCATTATTTAACAAAGTAGAAGTAGAGGGAATGGTTAAACTATTAACAAAATAAAAGTATTGGATTTCTTGAAATTATAACGAGATGCTTGGACTAGCTCCAAAATTTATAGTACACAAACATAGATTGGACCAAACTATAGTTCCAATAAAGTAGGCTTCAAGGAGAATGAGCTAAGAAAAAGAATAAAAGTTATAACTGAAGTGAAGAAATTAATAGACACCAATTTTGCCCACGAAAGAAATACCCAACTTAGTTAGCCAACATAGTACCCGTGAAGAAGAAAAGTGATTAGATTAGAGTCTGCATTGACTTTAAATATCTTAAAAAAGCCTATCCAGAAGACAAATT